TCAAATTTTTTCCCATCAAAACACCCCAGAAGAAGGCATAAGCAATTCAGGAAAAACTTTATGGTTTCTATACCATCAACCTTGCTCTCAGCATGCCCCTTATCCTGGTTGCTTGTGTAGTACTACATTTTAATCCCCTTTATGGCATCAGCAGCTAAACAAATTTATCAAACCAAAGCAGACTTAACACCAAATAATTAATATCATAATGCTATAAAAACATGATCCACAAACAGTACCTGACAAGATTTTATGCTATCAAAGAAATATAAGCATACACACTAAACAGCTCTAATCAAAACCACGTTGCCTTTTTTTAGAAATTCTTGCCACACTAAACATGATCAGATATCCAAACAAACATGCATCTTTGAAAAAATTTCACAGTAAGTGTTCCTTTAATATTACTCTTTCAAATAGTTTCAAGCTTCTAAAGCAACAGAGAGCAAATTGAATGTGTCTAATAGTGTTGACTGCTAATTTTAACCGGAAGCCCTCCCTGTGTGTCCACCTAGGAAACATGTACATGCACATTTCCACCTAAGGGAGGGGGATGGGAAAGGAAAAATCATCATCTGGTGGTTGATGAGGTTTTCAATGAAGGTAAAACGTAAAAATGGTTAAAGTTACTCATCTTACTAACTTTTATTTTGTAAAAATGTCATTTGATTTTTACGTGATACCAAACATGGTGATCCTTAATCCCAATAATTGATAATTGTTAACCAAACGTGATAATCTTAACTCACCCGTGAAAAGGTTACCTTGATAATAAGATCACCAAGGAGATCTTGAAAATGATACCAAATGCTACCTCAGAAAAGGATAACAGTGATAAGGAAAACTTCGGCTACCTCTCTTGACACAAAAAATATTTGCTTGTGCAGCATTTTCTACACAATTCATATAAGAGAACCAACTAAAAAATTGCAGTTAAGTTATATAAAGTTATTTGTGCAAATTAAGTTACATGTGGTCCTAGATGATATTCCAAAATTTGGCTTTAGTATGAAATATTATACCATTTGGAACACAGATCTGTCAAATGCAAAATCTCCAAAGTCTTTAGATATAGAGACACAACTTGATGAACACTATTCAAAAGTGCACCGTCTAGCATACATCTATGGCAATACCGGAATCAGGTGCGGTTGTGTTTACGGGCAAATTTTCTACATATTATATTTGAAATAATTCTTCTAAAGGAGTGACCAAGTATATACCTTGGATGCATGCCCAAGGATTTGCAGCATAACATAATGGATGGTCCTAGCAGCTGAACAGAATTGGATGAAGGACAAGGATAACTTGACTGCCATCTAGTTAAACGAACAGGCAGGTGATAGTTCTTAAACCGAATTATGTGAAGGACAAGGATGAAGCATTTGTTCAGGATCAGGTCCATCAGTTTAGATAATAAAACGAGACCACCTTTGTGTTATACAATAAGAAACAAAGGCAAAGCACTTGCTCAAATTTCAACAAGAATCCGGAATTTCACTCGCCTTTTAATGCTGCCCATTCTATCATAACCTATACCAATCTTACTATGCATCAACTTCATGGCCAAATCTG